TTTCCTAGTTCTCCAGGAGAGGTCAGCTGCATTGCCCTCCCCCAAAAAAATGCAGAACAGATAAGGATGCAATTACAATCAGTGTAAAGTTTTGGCATTTAAAATAGCCTTTCCTAAGAGCCGAAGCCAGCCACCAATGAATCCACAGAATTCTTTTGTTCTTGCCCGCGAGCGGAGCGTGACTGTAGACCATGCAGGGCAGGATTTGGTAGCTGGTCTTCTGCGCTGCTGCTGGCAGTTCTGTGCCAGGGCCCTGCATGGGGAAGGCTCCTTTCGCCCCCTCCTGCAGGACGGGGGTGGGGGTTGGGGGTGACACCTCCACCCTCATTAAAAAGCTGTCCTTGATCTGGCGAGCTGGAGGTGCTTCTTTCCTCCTGGGGAAGCTTCAGCCCTAGTTCACAAACACTTGTAGCTAGTGCTGCTGCTTTTAAGAGGGTTTACAAATACAGAAAGCCTGTGTTTTAAGAACACCTATTCTGATGGTGATGTGATGACACCACGCTCATGCTGGCTGTAAGGGACAGATTCAATAGGGAAGCTGAAAGCTGGGTGCTGCAGCACTTCATCGCTGCCTAAGCCTCTTCAGAGATCTGCTTGCTTCCTTTGAGATCCTAGAAGACATCCACATGCCTAGAAGTGCAAGGAGAATTGCAAACTATAAATAAACTAACTACTCTTGACCCAAACTTAGTTAAAAATAGAAACATAAAATACTTACTGTAGGTCTGCAGAAACAGTTGCTACTGTCAAAACCTACTTCAGCATTACAATGCTGTCTTGTTAGAGCTTTTCAGTAGTGGCTTTTTTTTTTTTTTTTTTAGGCGAGTGCTTTGTTTTCTTGACAATCTCCTCTAACATTACTGTTTAGTTTTGTAAATCTCTAAAAAATATGTTACAGGAAGTTTAATCCTTAATCTTAAACTTAGCAATTTACCTGTATCTCTAGAAGTTGCTTAAACAATTTACCATCTTGAAATAGTCTAGAAGGAATTTAGCAGCTAGTACAGACATCTTCTGGAATCAGTGTAATTCCTTCCTGGCTGAAGGAATTGGAAAGATCTTGGAGTGAGGTAGATGTTTGGAGAAGGCACTACAGAGTAAAGGCATATGCTGCAAAATGCTTCAGTCTGAAAACTGGAATTGGTTGTTATTGAATAGGTATAATGGCTACTGAGTCAGATGAGAGGGAATAATATTTTTAATTTCTTTCAGATAATCACAGCAAATCCTTGGAACATGATTGCTCTTCTTTGTGGTATCTTTTTGGCTCTGTTTAAGGCAGCAGATTTTGCTAAGTTAAGTGTTAAGTGGATGATCAAAATCAGAAAGAGACATCTGAAGAGAAGAAGTCAAGTAATGAACCACATAAGTTGAGACTAAGACTGACTGCCTTTTAAGTGTTCATAGCAGAAGGGATAGAAAATAACTGGAATAAACTTCAATCAGCAATACAGCAATTAAAGATGCAAACCAGGTATATTTTCTTCTGAAGACCATTTCCACAGCCTAGCAAACTGACATTTGAAACTTCAGAAAGGAGCCAACTCTAGGACAGGTCTAACAAACTCATGCTCTTTTTAATCCAAATTTAATACACTTACCTCAATACATGGCGGGTGGAGGACAGAATTCAATAATGCTTAGAAAGGCAGTGCCGTAGTAGTTAAGTTCTAAAACTGGACAGTGTTTGAATACCTCTCAGAACAGGTGACCGTTTAACTACTGCACGAGCTATGACTTGCATCTGTTGCCATAATGCAGTTCTTTCCAGTGAACAGTCAAGGAGTAAAGCACACAGAACAAAACAGTCTTGCTTCCCATCTCTAAGGTATGAGTTAAAAAAAAAATACACTGGATTTCTATTACATGTCATTTTTGATTTAAAATGTATTGACTTCTTTTAATATTAAAAGATATCTAAAATCAGCTATTGTGTGCATTGTCTGAGATTACGTGCTCTTAGATTCAGCTGGAGTTTCACAGGAGATAATCCAGACAGGAATATTAAGGCAAGAATTTTAAGTAAAAACTAAAAATCTATTCCTGATCAGGCTGACTCAAAGCATTCTGTGTGTGCTTTTTTTTTTTTTTTTTTTAACCAAAACAAAACTCAAGTCAGTAGTTCAGCATCTGAGTTGATGATAGACTTCAAAGTCTAAATCTGAGCTGTGCTGTTGCTTGTCTTTCCCCCTGCTTTCACTTTTTCCTAATGAAGTGAAAAATAGTCTTTCATCAGCCTAGCATATAAACGTGATTTTTCTCTTATATAGACTGAATGTGGTAACTGCCCTGTGCTGTTGTATTTTTTTTTCTTCCTTATAACTCCTCTTCTGAAGGGAGATGCCTTACTCAGAGCTGTAGTGTCTACAGGGCAGCAAGTGCCAGTGTGTTTGCTCTGAAAGAGTTGTTGCAAGGGGAAGCACATGCCAAACAGTTCATCTGTTGCTTCTTCCATCCTCTGAGAGAGGAGCATGAATTAAAACAGAATTAAGTTCATCAAGAGTAACCTCTTCATTTTTTTTTTTTCCTCTCATTAAAGGAAAGAAGCATTTTGGAATAAACTACTACTTTCAGCTGATTTCTAGAGCAAATCCTTTAAAAAAAAAAAAAAAAGGAAAGCCATTCTCTGTAATAAGGAAAGCAAAACAGCAATACTGGCTGCAGGGGTTACCAACCACTAGGGTGGAGTGCAGGGTGGACACAGGTGAGGAGCAAACAGCAGGCTGGACCAGACTAGAGCCTGCTGCTGCCTGTAGTTACTAGGCTTGTGTTGCTGCATTGTTCTGACCGTAGGCCTTGCGTCTTCCCCCAGGTCCTGTGTGGGTGCCTCAAACTGCTCATAATTTGAGTTTTGTAGTCTAAGCTAACTTGGTCATATTGTTGGGGGGAGGGGGAAACGTTTGGCTGCAGAACAGGGTTGGTGTTTTACAATGTTAGCTCTTAAATGGGTCTAGAAGGGCCAATATTGTATCCATCTACCTCAGGTGGGCATGAAATTTGGCTCAGTATTAGCATAGAGAATGAGGTTAAATGGGGAGGGAGGAAAGTAGAGAGAGAGACCAAACAGAATGTTAAAGCAAAACCTTGGAGAGCTACTTCAGCTTTAAGTGCTTGTGTTGTAAGGGAACAGGACAGCTGAACTGTGGGAAAAGCACGCTTAGACCATTTGCATCAATTAAAAAAAAAAAAAAAAAAAAAAAAAGTTGATTTTGCTACATGATGCTGCATGCTCTGCTATGAAAGTATTCCACTGACTTCCCTGGTCAGGTTATCCATGTGCTTACCCAAATACGCAGTGGTATAACTTGTCCTCAGCAAAGACAAAATTAGTTTTCTTAAATTGTTGTTGTCACAGAAGTATGTTAGTGTTTTAAGGATGAGTAGTTTTCTTTAACAAATGGTATTACAGCATTTATTTCTTGTATTAAAAAAAAAATTAGAAACTACATTTTGATCAGGTACTGATCACCCTGCTACATCCCACAACTTTTAAAAATTTTGTTTACTGATGAGGTGCAGAAGGGTACAGGTTGCCTTGGAAGACAACTGATGAGGGCTGGTTAAGGATGCACTCTTATCTGCAGTACTTCAGATACTTATTTTTACCTAATTCATGTAGCAGCTGCCTTCAGTCACTATCTCATCATCTATCACAACTCTTTGTTTTATAGGAAATGTTACTGGCAGGAACCCAGTCTCCCACTATATTCCTACTCTTAGGTGTGATTCTAATAACAAGCATTGCCCAATTTGAAATAGCCTCTTAAAGCTATTGTGTATTGTGTGTTTTTTTTTTTTGCTACTACTTATTTATTTGTTCCTATTTGTAGATATTTGAACAACTCTTAATTACAAATGTCAATAATTTGTCTCAGCCTCAGCAAGATAAGTGTTATTAATCTAGCTTTCACCTAGCTACCATTTCCTTAAAATTGTAGGAGAGCTTTTGTAAACATTCTGTATCTGAAGTTTAGGTTGACTTCTTCCATGGCCAAAAAAAAAAAAAAAAAAGTACAGTGAGGAACTAACTTTGAGTATGTGTTTGAATAATAATCTTTCTCATGAACTGGCAAAGTGTACCCCTACAAGCTGTACAGATTAACATCTTGCTCCAGGAGACACCATGAAAAGTGTTAAAGGATTTTCCCCCCTCCCCAAATTTTGGGACATCAGAGCATATACTCTGCCAGAGTATACTTTGGTCAGCTGATTACACAGTCTTTTTATAAACTGACACATAAATAGTAGCAACAATTAACTGCAAGCACAAGCCACTTGTTAAATATGAAACTGAAACTCTCTGTTCTGCCAAATATCACCATGTCTTCAGACAGCACAAGCCTCTCAGTGCTGGCAGAGCTTTGTCCAACTGGACATTCTGCAGGTCACATGAAGGGCCCTGGAGCCCACGCAGGAGTCGAATTGAGGAGTGGCTTTGTATTGCCCCTCTAAGTCGTTGAGGCTTCCTCTACAGTATCCAGAGGATCCAGGCAACCACCGCTATGGAGTGCTGCTTTTAAGGCAAACAGCCCCTAGATCAACACTCTTGAGGCATCTTGCTAATGATTGATAAAGGCTCTTAACAAAGAGCTTCTCCTGTTTTACCTCTTCAGGCAGCCTTACAGAGGAAATGGAGCCACTTAGAGACAAAGAATGAAGTAATAAAGTGTTTTTTTTTTTTTTTAAAATGTAGAAGCCAGCTCAGACACTGTAGTATAGACTTTCTCCCTGGTAACTAAATAAAATCAGTAAAACAGTTGAGCAACAGGCAAAAAAGAGCCCAGGACTGTACCTCAGCTGTTCTGTCCACCACACACTGTGTTCTTCACAGGTAAGAACAAAGCCTTCCACCCCTACTCACTAAAAAATTAAGTGACAGGTCACTGGTCTAATGAAGAGCTACAGGTTACTTAAAACAAATGTGGTGCAATTAAATGGTTGTTTAAGAGCCATTCTAATTCTCTTGGTCTCCATAAACACAAAGATGTGATATACAGCACTAAATACAAACATAAAGACTTTATTGAATGCTGCTCAGTTCTCCAAAGATCTTCCATTACAAAAGTTTTCCACACAACTGCAATTTAAGAGATTGGAATGGTACTCTGATAAAAGATGTGAAAAATACTTGATTAAAGAAAACGGACAAGACTTCTATAATCAGCTCTCCACCTTCCAAGAAGCAGACTGCATTTTCTTTAAATAAAACAAGGAACTAGTTAATTCACAGTCATCCTTCCTTATTAGGGATTCCAGCTTTGGTCTCACTCTTCAGGCCATGAGATACTAAAGCTACTGCAGAGATGTCCGAGATGGTCTGTAGGAGACTGCACTACTCTGCAGGGAGTCCTTGGGCTGATGAGGAGCATCATTGATGGGCTCGCCAAAGGAAGCTCCATCCTCAGCTGTAAGAGGATGACCAAGAAGCAGGGAGAAGACAGTCTCAAGGCATTCACCACAGGGTAGGTCAGATGCACGGACCACCCAAACCTAGTTGAGCTCTCAGAACCATATTTTGCCTCATTCTACTGTTAGCTACTTACAAATCGAAATTCAATCTGGAATTCACAAACAGCACCATGTCAGAGTTCCTTTCAGTGTTGCTAGGGGCACATAGTGAGTATCTCAAGCTACTGGTAACGTACCTTAGTTTCATTTGAGAAAATACAGCACAACTAGAAGCCTTTTCTATAATCTTAACCCAAGTAATGCAGCGATGTGAAAAGCACGTATAAAACAAGGAAAAAGAATGTACAGAGCAAACTATACCACCTATGTGCAACACAATCAAAAATTCAAGTCATAATTCTCACCACTCCCATAATTATTTCACTCATTAAGGATGACAGTTCAGTTCTATGAAACATTGGAAGTGACCGTATATCAATTATTAGACAAATTTACAATATGCTGTGGTAATGACATCACTTAACTGCTGTACTTAAATTTTTCTTCATTTACATTTTGCCAGAGAAAAGGTTGGCTGTTTCTATTATACTGTTGAGGTTTATTTTGCAAGTTTTTCTATATTTCAAAAGGGTACAAAAAAGTATGTCTGCGAGTAGAGGTTGTCATTTCTTTTATTTGGCACTTGTATTGTGTGCACTCAGCACATTGTGAGTGCTGTTCTGCTTTTCTGCCAGAGCCTTCTTAAGCTTTAACTCCTCTAGCTTTCTCCACAACTCTTCACGTTCCAATTCTTTCTTTTTCTCTCTGTAGAAAGAGTGAAGTATCAGTTTCAGATGTGTTTCAAGTGCAATGTGTAGATGCAGCTATCTAAAACAACTGATTTACATCCAGTAATTCTTCAGTTTTTTTCTCCCCAAATCTATTTTTGGAGGCAATCACAATTTCCGCTATTAAAAGATGAATGTATGACTTGATAAAGGTTAGTGGTAAACAGCATCTTTGCTCTGACAAACTCAATCACCTACTACAGTGTAGTTTTCAGATGACTGCAATTCTAAAGAGGTTCTTTATCACATGCAAAGACATTAAGAAACCAAGCACCATGGGAGGAAAAGTCGAACTAATGAAAGGAGACTGAGCATGTGGTTTCAGTTGGCCTAGGATAACCTAGCATCCCTTATACCAACACTACTGTTCAGTGGTTAGTAGGATAAAGAGGAGGTTTTAGCTGAGCTATAAAGTTTTCTCCAGCTCAGCTTTCTTCAGACACATCCCTCTGCAGCACTAGAGCCAGCACCCAGCAGCCTCCTGCAGCAGCAGCCAAGATCAGTTTTCCTACTTCGAAGGCGCTCCCTGACTCAGCAGGGCTGGGAGCCAGAGATGCTGCTGCCGCCTCCCGGGCTTCGGCTCCCTCCACGCCACCGACGTGCACCTGCCTGGGTGCTTCACACCCCAGGGATGCACTGGGCCGCCCACAGCAAGGTTTCTGTTGGCAAATCTACTACAGAAGCCCTTGGCCACAACAGTTACATTTTATGCCTTTTTAGCTGGCGCATTTCAGATATGTATTTATCAGCATACGTTTGGAAGAAATATCAGTACCTTTGCCTTTCTGCTTTGTATGAGCTTGTAAGTTCATCAAAAAGCTTGCCGTTCATTTCCATCAGCGTCTTCAGCACATTATATACAAGTGCCACGATAGTTCTAGAACAGAAGGAACACACCGATATATTACTCAACACAAAATAATATCTGGTAAACAAGTGTTCAATTTCCTTTTTGGACTCTGAACTTGGTATTTAAAACACTACTGCAAGATCAATGAGTTCTTGAAACAAAATTCTTTACTATAACTCTCTGTAAACAAATAAAATACTTTTAATTTTTTGAAATAGCTCTCTAACCTTAAATTCCTGACTCTAGCAGCCACCCAGGGTATAATCATTACTGTGGCTATATAATATAAAGCCATTCAATTATGTTAATATTTATTGAGTTTTCACAGCAATTTTGTAATATCTGAAACATGAGAGTCTATAAAACTTCTGGCTAACAGCTTGAAGATTGGGCAAAAGTACACAGCAGAGGAATAACAAGACACATGGTTTAATATAGCTACTAAATGCTCTACCAGAAGTGTTTATGGACAGCAGGTAAGTTTTGCTGCACATGCACCACTAGAGAATCAGCTAATGGTTTCAAGTGTTTTATATTAAAAAAGGCTTAAGTGATACTGGCTATTTTCTATGGCTGATAGTATTTCCATTTAGGAATTATTTTTCCTTCTCACTGTTTTTTGTGAGGGCATTTTTATTTCAATAGCTTAAGTATACTAATACTTATCTCCTTTAATCCCACTCTTTAATAATTACATACAGGAATGTAAAAAACAGCAGTAAAATTAACCATTAAAAAGGTGCCTATCATTAAGCTTATTGCTAATCAAAAAGTAAGCAAGCTATCTTCCCCATGCTTCCCCTCACTAGCAGTTCACCTTCACACAGCAGTAAGGTTGTAAGGTTGTGGAGCAGGGTGCCATGCAGTCTTGTGACCTTGAAAAATGAGTGAAAGAAAATTCTAAGGAAGTAACCAGAGGACCAGGTTTGCCTTTTCAGTACACTTTGTCCACTGCGCTGCTAGGACATCTCCCAACTATTGGTTAGAGACCTTACGCTCATTCAAAATGCTCGGTACACTTAGCCTCTCTACACGCTTTTTTTCACCACTGGCTTTAATGTGCTTTTGCAGACAGGAGCATATTTAGGGTTTTGGTTTTCAGAGGGGAAAAGCTTGATTTAAAGTGAGTAGCTCTGGATATAAGCACATTTCGGTATCCTCCAATATTGATTGCAAAGGGTTGTACTTTCTGCCCCAAACACCCTGGCCCACAAGGTACACAACTATCTTTTATCTTGCACTTCCTAAATTAAAGCAGCAACCTTTTTTGCAGCTTGAGGAAAAGGGACTTCCTCCAGTTTTGATGAGGTCCTAAAAACATTGATGCTCCAAGAATTAGTTCCAAGCATTAGCTCCAAAATTCATATTCAATCTGTCTCAGCTATGTTTGCAACTAGACACACTATCTAGATAAATACAGAATAACTTGAGATTCTCAAATAAAGGGCTTAAAATAGAGCATTTAAGTTAACAAAGTTATGAAAGGCCCAGCCTACTTTGACTTTTGCCTATACAGGCTTTATATTCTGCAAATGGACTTGTAACTTGGTTCAGGATGCTGGACACAAGCAAACTTTGCATTTTAATGCTTCAACAATGCAGTGATGATTTCTTTCAAACATAGTATCAGAAATCCTAACACTTAACAGCTGGCATTAAATATGAAATGAAGCAGTCAGTTATTTCTCATTCCTACCGTCCTTTATAGTGCGTAGGCACTATTCTGATACGACAGTATCTTTTCTCTTTATCTCACTGGGCAGCGAGACTTTCTTATGAAGACACTGACAGAATTTAGTTCATCTGAAGGAGTAAAGGACAACGAAGCACAAGTGCAGCAGAAGCATCCACTGGTCAATTATTTTAGTCTAAGTAATGTTAACTTGCATTTTAGCCAGCACCTAAGATCAAACGTTATTAGATTATCTACTGTCTACATCATCATCCAATATCTTCATACTTTTTCAGTGAATTCTGGTTCTCTATCATAACAATGCAGAACAGCAGCATGATATAGCTGAGAATGAAATCCATTTTCTGCATTCAAATAATCAACTCACTACAGTACGGAGCATTTTTTCCTCTCACTTTTATCTGTGATAGAAGTTTATCTTGCAAACATATATACTTCTGTTCAACCTCAACTGTTCAGCTTCATGGAATGGATATTTTCTTAGCACCTGTAATCTCATTGATTTCATCTGACTTAAGTCAAAATGAAGACACTATATGCTTATGATCCAATCCTGAAACAGCAAACTAAAATAATTTATTCTGATACTACGGGAAAAGTTAAACGTTACATACGGATTCCAGTGTTCTTTGGAGATCTTGTATAAACTGCCAAACATAATTGGTAGAATTTTATCAATGTTCTCCTCAATCAGACTAAGAATGTATTCATTATTCCAGAAGTACAAAGCTCTTTCTGCAACCTGAAATGGAAAGTTTAGGGGTCAAAAACTACCAAATAAGTTACCATGAATTATTTTTATACTTAATTTTTATTTTATTTTTATTTTTTTACCTGAAAATGTGAACTTGATACACACTTGGATATTTGCTTAAATAAAGGCTCTTCTATTTTTTTGAATTGTGTCGGTTCTATTACATCTAAGATTTCTTCGATTTCACCTAAAAACATTACCTGTTTATATAAAAAAAAAAGTATATCAAAAAGCATGAGAATATTTTGCATCTCCAATATAGACAAAATACAGCTTACACTTTAGTCATGAATCCTGCAGAGAGCATGGTGTATAATTATGTTCTATTAGACCTCCATGGTTTATGGTTTGTTTGCAGTCTGAAAGAAGTCAATCATCAGTTCTAGCCACCACGTCAGAGCTCCCATCTTGGATTTCTTTTGTATAATTGCTCTCAACACTTCAACAGTGCTGCTTTTTCACATTTTTTTTTTCATAGTTAAAAATGCTAAAACCTTTTATTTCTTCAGGAGTGGCTGCAGAGGTTATCATTATCCGAGATCTCCAAAGTAGCTTTTGAAGTGGTACATAGTTAATCTCAGTTTTAAATTACGACCAGCAGAGCGGTAGGTAGGTAGCGTAGAAAATTCAACCTGCTCACACAAACGGGGACAATGACGTCAAGGGACGCCACTTAAAGAGCTGCCAGGAAGGTGGGATCTCGTAGCACAGTAAGTCATCAGGGTCCTGGCTATCTTTCTTTTAATTATGTAGAAAAAACACAATCAGAAAAATTGATTTCCCAAGACCATTTAAAGTTATTTTTATAGTACAGAAAAGATATAGATACATGCTTTACTAATACATGCAGTTATGTCTAGACATTCGCAGTGAAGTAGAATTTTATTCAATATCTCAATTGCTAATCTGTGTCAGTTGACTTGGTATTCAAATATCAAACGCCAGCATGTTGCAGATTGACTACCTCTGAGCTAGTAGTTATCTACTAAAGCGCTCTTCGCCTGGAAAAGTTATGTCTCTATAACAGATCTTAAATATAATGCAGCTTTTAACATAGCTTTAAGAACTGACAGATGCAAAACCAAAATTGCACCAAGTTGCATGACAAAAATCAGCACCCCAAGCATTTGAGAACTGCAATAATTCTGCAAGATCTCTTGAAAAGTGCAACAGAGAGATGAGGTATATGAAACTGCTGTACTACATTTTATATTACGGGGGAATGATGTAAACACAAGAAACAAAACCAACCTCTTTCTGACTGCAAGTTTTTGGCCAAAATTTTAGCAGTCCTCTGATTACCTATATTAAAAACACAAACAAGTTAAACCAGAACACTTTTTTTTTTTAAATAAATCTTATCAAATATGTAATAGAAAATATTAGTTTGCTTTTCCTTATCCAAAAAGGAATACAGCTAAATATGGTTTCATTCAGTGAACATAAATACTGCGTGGTCTCATTTAAATTCTTATCTTGTTTATTTATCTTGCATTATTTTCAGAATAATTTATATCCTTATCACTTCAAAGTCTTTGATTATCCATTCATACTCCACTCCCACCCCAGTACATGTACTAATTGATATGATAACATCAAAGCTTCACAAAAATGCATTTAAGTTCCCTGCAGCCAG